TTCAGTGCAGCAAACAGCATGGATGTAATAAATATAGATAAGGAAGAGGAAGAAAGGAAAAGGTTCGAACAGAAACTGGTCGAAAACCATAGAAGGAGATTGTCTATTGACCGATCGCCAGAGGGAAGACGGATATCTTCTCTAAATCACAATATGAGTGAGGAACAAACACCAGACGATGGACAAAAAAGAATAAGAAGCCCGGAAGAAAAGGAAATACTGGAATTTGAAATAATCCAAAAGCAAATGGAAGCAATACAAAAGGTGGCAAAAATCTATATGATACAGCAATTAGTAACACAAACACTAGTGGAAATAAAGAATGGAGTAAGAGACCTAAAGAAAAAATGGAAAGAATACAAGTAAAAATGGAAAGCTTTGAACAACAAATAGCAACAGGACACCTAACAAAAAAAGCCAGCCAAAAAATGACACAAGAACAATTGGGACACAAGTGGACCCGAGGAGTATGGAGGAGGACATAAAAGCTCTTAAGGAAACGGAAGAAGAAACTTGCATCGACCAATTAAACGAAAAAGAAGGCTGGGAGTGCAGAAGATACTTGACATAACATGGCCGGAGAGGGCCTACATTAACACAAAAGGGAAAGGACAAACCTTAACTTTAATTTCAAAAAACTTCAGGAAAATATATTTTTAATTCTGGAACATCTCTCAGTAAGTACTTACCAGCTTTTTCGGTTAATTTTCGTCATTTGGCTGTTCCGGTTTATGTATATTAGAATATATTAAAATTTCTATGTAAATAAATTATATATTATAAATATGTATTTCTGAAAACAAAAAACTAGCACTAGCCTTCCATCTTCCATTCTTGAAATTGAAATTAATGGTTCAGCAATTGAAATAAAACCATTATTTATAGAACTGAAAATATATTGGCTTGCAAAATCATCGTTCTTATAATGAAAATATCTAGATATACAGAAAATTACGACAAAGAAAACTTACCTTGTAAATTTAAAATGGTCTCTTCATCGTTAATTGGGTATATTTAAGGTAAATAGCTCCTCATTAATCTTGAAAGTTATTTCTTCCATTATTTGTGGTGCAAATTTACACAACCAAAAAAGTTGAAGATGAAAGAAAAATATGACTGACAGTATTGACACATGACATTTCTAGTCGGTGCATGTGGTTGTTCCATTGACTTTGCACTTTGTGCATTTTTTTAATGAACCGAGATCGCACAGGTTCAGTGCATGCCAATGGTAAACGCTATAATATTATATCTTGCACTTTTGCAGCTGTAAATATGATACGAAAATATAAAATAAAAACAAAGAAATGTGAGATTAAAGAAGCTCTAAAAGATATTACCAGAAAAATATACTCTCGCAGTTAAGCTGCAACAGTTAAAAATATAAAATGAACGACACTTTTATTTATTATACCCTCTAAAAGTTCAAGCAAAGAAATGGTGAAAATTCAGGAAAGGAAATCATGTAAAAAATCCAAATATGGTAGTAAACAGGTTTTTATAAACTACCAAGAACATTTGATTGAATATCTACAATTCACTATGCTCAAGTGATATCTTTAGAATACAAGCAATAACAAAATAATGGACTTTAAATAAAAGGACAGGCAGATCCTCCATATTATTTATAGGAATATCAATGATATGGTCTAGCTATGCTTTTCTTAGTTCGTCAACTCAATATTGTTAAAAGGAAGTCGACATATGGTGGCTCTAAAAGACGTTTTATATTTTCCTAATTCTACTAATGGAGATTAAATATTTTGGTGGTATTAATTTATTACCATGTACTAGCCAAGTCACTAATGAAGATTTACACACTGCAAGAAATATCGTGTCTAATGGAACACCTCCCGGTTATGTTTTGAACGAATTGGAACTTACAATAACAGAATGAAGAAATCCGCATGGAGAGCCAAATTTAGTAGAAATTATAACAATTACGATTCAGGTTACCAACACTTGCATTCAAAGAAAAGAAGCTTTAAAAGGTACTGCCCCCAAGGCAGTGAATTTAAAGTAGTATCGGTAAAAATATTCCTAACCAACAAAGAATTGTAGTAGAGTATTTGATAAATTGCTACTGTACTAACATAGCTAAACGGAGAAGGCGTTATATTTCTGCAATTTATTCGGTTATGTAACTGAACGAGCAATATGTACATAATATAACCTTTTAAAATGTATTTTGTATTCTACAACAGCGTGTTTATGATCGGTTTAACACGTTCACTGTCCTAATGGCATTTTTCCGCAAACCGTTACACGTCCCCACTTAAATTTGTATGACCCATATGTGATTCGCAGAACTCTGTGATAATTTAGATGTACAACCTACGTACTACGACCTATATGTGGGTCGTAAAATAAAACCTTGAATATTTGGCAACGTTTCTCAATCAGCACGTGTTCTGTGTTATAGCCCGCCAATATTGTTTGGTAGTCTTTCGCAAGGGTGCAAACAGGTGTGTTGTGTTACTCAGTTGAAAATGTTTCCTACTAAAAACACGGCCATGTCCGGAATAAAACGTAAACTAATCCAAAGAGAGTTAGAAGATATCGCAGAAAATCTATCTGAAATAAGTTCCACCAGTGATTTTGATTCAGACGACAGTGTGGCAGACCCGAATTACGAAAATAAAGATTCAAGTTCTAATGAAAAAACGAATGATAGTGATATTCAAGATGAAACTGAGCAAGAAACTAGTTTCAGAAGATAAAATGAATAAGAGTGGTCCCAATTTCTGGTCGTCAACCGTACTCTCGTTTTCAAGATTTATATTTAGTGCAGTAGGTGGAACAACCATTCAAATTAGTCAAGATATGGAACTCATAGATATTTTTAGGCAAGAAAAGCATGAGGAAAAAAAGCAAGAGGAGGAAGTCCATAAGCTAGAAGAGCTACCTAGAGGTAACGACAAAATATACAGAAAACGCTGTCATGGGTGTTATACTAAGTTGAGAAATACTCTGAAATCAAAAAAAGCATGTAAAAAACTAAGAAAGTCTCAACTTCTTGCCGTTCATGTAACCAAGCATTTTGTATTTCTTGCTACGCAAGAAATCATTGATTTTCTCTCTATTTCCTGTGCATACACTTTTAATAAGAATATTTTCTTTATTTTGTAACCCCAGTTTTGATATGCCATATTACTGTTATTTGTTGATAGAATAAAATGTTTTTTTACCAAAATGTAGTTTTTTCCCTTAGAGTCCTCTTAAAGAAAGCAATAATTTACTGTCACGTCCTTCTTAATATTCAGCTATAACAAAACATACATTTATACGACTCAGATATGGTTCGCAGGACTTATAGGTAAATAAATTTACGACTCATATATTGGTCGTAGGACAGTTAACGTGTTAAGCGGATAGTACCACCTGCGCTAAATTTCAGAGATAAACATTCATTGACCTCCGAAAATCAAACTTTTAAAAAGGGATCTGACTTGACCTAGGCACTCTATCAAACATAGGTATACCATAGAAAAGCTAAATAACTAATTATTAAGAAAAGTTAATAACATTTTTGTGTAAATCTTCCCGTTTTCATCCTACAGGGTGACGAAGTGAAAGTGAAAAATACACACTTCTCAATATTTCGTCAAGATACATAATGTCCTCAGCTTAAGGTACTTTATTACTTTGCAATAATAAATGGACCGTGTTCTGCAATCCCCATTTTGTTTACAATTGAGATTTTTATGTAAACCAGTCTATTACTAGTAATACGACATTCAGCGAAAATGCTGTAAGCCGCATCTGGCCTTTTAGCGACATCTGTCAACAAAGTTCTAACCCACATTCGTCGTACTTCTTATAATAGAGAAATCTACAACAACCTAAGCCACAATGTGGGTTATATCTTTGTAGAAAAATTCTCAGTATATGCATAAACAAAACTCAATTTCAAACACTTGCACTTTGTTCATAGTTTTTGTGATTTTAATTAACAAAAGGCTTAGAAAGTGGTTCGTATTATAGACAAGGTATGCAAAATAAGATTATATGTTATATTATTATAGATTATCCATAGTAACGTTAGGGGGATGACAAGCAATCTAACACATGTCATGTACTAATATTTCACGTTTTGGGAAATGAAAGTATTTTCATAATTTGGCCTGTTATTATACTATGAACCTTAATTCTACAATATACAGTGGCTACAGTCACAATAGAATTGGCGACGAGGATGTTTTAAAAAAAAGAAACCTGCAATATGACGGGACCGAACGATGCGGCTACAACTTCAAAAAAAGGGGCCAATACGGCCATTACAAATGTTACACATACAGTTCAAACGATATTTTCAATAGAAACATTCGATCCTGAAGCGACGAAGTTCGATAGATGGGTGAAGAGGCTCGAAAGTGCTTTTAGCGTATTTGCTATTTCAGAGGACCGTAAAAAGTCCTACCTATTACACTACATGGGTGCAAAAACTTACGATTTATTATGCAGCAAAGTCCACCCTAAGGAACCAGAAGATAAATCATACAAAGAAATAGTGGATTTGATGAAGGTACATTTCAACCCCCAACCACTGGAGATTGCTGAAATTTTTCGTTTTTTACAACGAAAGCAACAAGATGGAGAAACCGTTACTGAATTCATTACGGCGCTGCAAACTATGGCTATAAACTGTAAGTTTGGTGATTATTTGAACAAAGCTCTGCGAAACCAATTTGTTTTCGGGTTACGTGCTGAAAGAATACAAAGTAGGTTGTTGGAGGTAAGGGATTTGACTTTCCAACAGGCCATGGATATTGCTTTAGGTATGGAAATTTCATCAACGTCGCCAATTCTGTTGTGACTGTAGCCACTGTGTATTGTAGAATTAAGGTTTGTAGTATAATAACAGGCCAAATTATGAAAATACTTTTATTTCCCAAAACGTGAAATATTAGTACATGACATGTGTTAGATTGCGGGAAGAAAGGTTGGTTAGAAAAGAAATTGGAATGCGAGATGGAAAGAAAATAATAATTTTTACGCTTATGAAAACTCAATGGCGTATGAGCGTTGAAATTGATGAGAGTTATTTATCTACTTTACGAAATACAATTGGTGCTACTAGTTGGTCAGCCGTTACAAGAAAGGCTAGAGATGAAAAGAGTGAAGGTAAAGATAAGAAGCTCGAGACTTCCGTCTCCGGCTCTTCTGTCTCTAATGTACAGTCAAATTCAGTTTCGAGAAAAACTCCAAGAATTAGTCTTCCGGTAACAGATAATAGCAAGAAAGATCAGCTAATTCAAGATGAAGATGATCAGAATGAATCTGATCTAGGAGAGAATGATCCCACTAGTGATGAGGATGAAAAACCTTCCATTAGTGGGGTTACCTCTCTTAAAGAAGTTAAAAAAGAAGATGAAAATGAAGATGAAAATAAATTCGTTGAAGGTGAGATTGCCAATATTTCCAAGGATAATAAAGATTCTCTTCAAGACATCGATCTATTTATGGATAAAATATGGATATCAGAGGAAAGATCAATCCCTTTCAAAGTTTCTGAGATATACAGAAACTTATCTCAAGCTATTGAGATTACTTCAATCGCAGATGGACGCTTATATTCCTTAGAGAAAAACAAAACTGCTGCAAACACAAAGGAACAAAAAAAAATCAAGATGAATTACAACATAAAACATTATTTTTTCCGATTTGGTAAAACATAATCCTTTAGGTAGTGGGGTTGTTTCAAGTTCCTTTGCGGTCTTCTTGATTTTGCACTTTCTCCACTAACTGAAGGAGCTGGGTTTGGAAAACCACTTACATATAGGTTAGTTTCTCTCTCTGAATCTAAATTAGGAGGCTGCGGAGGACAAGGATTGTTGTCTGGAATAACAACTGGTTCCTGTTGCATAATTTGCGTATACACTTTTGGAGTAGTTGGTGGATCTGGATAACGAGGAACATGTACTTTAGGAGTGGTTTCCCCTAAGAGAGGTGTTATATTATTATAGATTATCCATAGTAACGTTAGGGGGATGACAAGCAATCTAACACATGTCATGTACTAATATTTCACGTTTTGGGAAATAAAAGTATTTTCATAATTTGGCCTGTTATTATACTACAAACCTTAATTCTACAATATACAGTGGCTACAGTCACAATAGAATTCGAGAGAAAGAGTAATTCAATATGCATCCCAAACCCTTACACTCACTCAAAGAAAATACTCCCAGATTGACAAAGAGGCATATGCAATAATTTTTGCAATTAAAAAGTTTTATCAGTATTTATATTTAAATAAATTTACGCTTTATACTGACCATAGACCATTGGTACAAATATTTTCACCCACAAAAGAAGGAAATCAATAATTTAGTAAAAGAAGGCATTCTAGAAAAAGTAAATACTTCAGAATGGGCTACTCCAGTTGTGCCAATTTAAAAAAAAAATAATGAAGTTCGTTTGTGCGGAGATTTCAAAGTTACAGTAAATCCTTGCTTAATTATAGATGACCACCCATTACCCACCATTGATGAACTTTTTTCGGCAATGGCAGGAGGTGAAAGTTTTTCAAAAATTGACTTACGTCAAGCTTACTTACAAATGGAGGTACATCCAGACTATAGACATTTACTTACTTTAAATACACACAAAGGTCTTTATCAATGTAATAGATTGTTGTTTGGTATTTCATCTGCTCCAGCCATTTGGCAAAGAGAAATTGAAAATATATTACAAGGAATTCCTGGGGTTACAGTTTTCTTAGATGACATAAAGATTACAGGCAACACAGAGTCAATACATTTAGAACGTTTAGTTCAAGTTTTTGACAGATTACAAAAATTCGGACTACGGGTCAATTTAGAAAAAAGTGAATTTTTTAAAGAAGAAATAAAATATTGCGGTTACATTATAGATAAAAATGGCATTCACAAGTGTCAGGATAAAATGGATGCAATAAATAAGATGCCACGACCAACAAATGAAACGCAATTAAGGGCTTTCATAGGAATGATAAACTATTACGGTAGATTCATTCCTAATCTAAGTACTATTCTATTTCCATTAAATCAATTACTTTGTAAAAATAAGCAGTTTAGTTGGACAAACGAATGTGAAAAAGCTTTTTTACAATCTAAAGAGCTTTTTCAAAGTCCAAATTTCTTGGTACATTATGACACTAAGTTACCTTTAGTTGTGGCTACTGATAGCAGTCCATATGGAGTAGGAGCAGTACTATCTCACATTTATCCTGATGGGAGAGAAAGAGTAATTCAATATGCATCCCAAACCCTTACACTCACTCAAAGAAAATACTCCCAGATTGACAAAGAGGCATATGCAATAATTTTTGCAATTAAAAAGTTTTATCAGTATTTATATTTAAATAAATTTACGCTTTATACTGACCATAGACCGTTGGTACAAATATTTTCACCCACAAAAAGTTTACCTGTTTTTTCTGCAATGAGAATGCAACATTATGCAATGTTTCTACAAGGTTTTAATTATGATATTAAATACCGAAACACTAAATTACATTTAAATGCAGACTGTTTATCCAGATTACCAATTCCAGAAACAACTTCAGTTTCAAATCCTGATGTAGTAGATATTTTTGAAATAAGTATAATTGAAAGTTTGCCGGTTACAGTGGAATTGGTAGCTAAAGAAACAAAAAAAGACCCTGTTCTCTCTAACCTTTTACATTCTTTAGAAACTGGTACTGATGTAGATCTGCATTTAAATCCTAAAGTAGATTTAAATGAACTGAGTTTACAACAAGGGTGCATTATGCGAATGCATAGGGTATGGATTCCTAAGGAATTGTAGAGTCCAGTTTTGAAAGAACTACACTTGGGTCATTTTGGTATTTCCAAAATGAAAGCATTAGCTCGAGGCTATTGCTGGTGGCCCAATATAGATAAATCTATTGAAGATATATCAAGTAATTGCATTGAATGCAACTTAAGACGAAATAATCCTCATAAAGTAGACACACACATTTGGGAACCATCTACACAACCGTTCGAACGTGTACATGCTGACTACGCTGGACCAATATGCGGATTTTATTTACTAATCCTCGTAGATTCCTATACGAAATGGCCAGAAGTCAGGCTAGTACATGATATGACGGCTGAAACAACGATTAAAGCCTGCAGACAAATCTTCTCACAATTTGGGATACCACGGTATTTTGTAACCGATAATGGTACTAATTTCAAATCCCACAAATTTAAAAATTTCTTGAAGTCAAACGGGGTAATCAGTAAATTTACAGCTCCTTACCACCCAGCTACTAATGGGCAAGCAGAACGATATGTTCAAACCATTAAGAAAGCTATACTAAAAATGAACTGTAATAAATCAGATATCGAAAATAAATTACAATTGATACTATTTCAATATAGAATTATGCCCCATGCTGAGACTCAAAGTTCACCATCCCAAATGCTCTTTGGAAAACAAATACGTTCAAGGCTAGATTTATTACTACCTACTAATAATGACAACTGTACTCAAACTACAATAAATGACAACAAAAATGTTATTCAATTTAATATAGGAACACGGGTAGAATGCAGAAATTATGTAGGTTCTGTAAAATGGCTTTTTGGAACTATAAAAAAACAGATAGGGAAGTTACACTACTTAATACAATTAGACGATGGACTTGAATGTAGGAGACATATAGATCAAATCAGGGAGATAGGGGAAACCACTCCTAAAGTACATGTTCCTCGTTATCCAGATCCACCAACTACTCCAAAAGTGTATACGCAAATTATGCAACAGGAACCAGTTGTTATTCCAGACAACAATCCTTGTCCTCCGCAGCCTCCTAATTTAGATTCAGGAGTAGGTATATATAGTACCAAGCCAAAGACAGGAATCTCACTGAGCTTAGGTAAACATGCGACAGTATTCCAGGCAGAAATAGCAGCAATACATCACTGCGCAAAAGAAGTATTAAGACAGAAGGTAAATGGGAAAACCATTGTCATATACTCAGACAGTCAAGCGACGTTAAAAGCACTCAGTTCCATGCAGGTACACTCAAAGCTTGTGTGGGACTGTTTGGAAGCCCTAACAGAGCTGGGTAGTCAAAACAGACTAACCTTAGCGTGGGTACCAGGCCACAGGGGACACAAAGGCAATGAAGAGGCTGATTTACTAGCCCGAGAAGGAGCATCAAATGCTCTTATTGGCCCAGAACCCTTCTGTGGTGTAACAAAAACAACTATCAGAACATGCACAAAGCAGTGGATGTTTAAAAAATATCAGGAGTGGTGGGAAAACTCACCAGGACAGAGACAGGCCAAAAAGTTCTTAAAAGGACCATCGTCTAAACTCACCGAGCATCTACTAAGCCTTAATAGGAAAAATACTAGAATACTAGTAGGTCTATTAACAGGGCATTGTAGGCTTAACAAACATATGTTCAATATCGGTCTGACAGAAGAGGCCTTGTGCCGATTCTGTCAAGAAGAAGAGGAAACGGCAGAACACGTATTGTGCTACTGCGAAGGTCTAGTAAGACTGAGATTCCTTACACTTGGAGAAGAAAAACCAAGGGCAACTAGCTATACCGGAGAACTACTTTCCAGTCTATGGAGTTTACTACAAAAGACCGCATTAGACAAGGTACTCTAAACAATGATTAAAGGATATCCACAATAGATCTGAAAAGGTCGAGGTGGGGGAGGCCACATGGCCCATAGTCCTAATTAAATCTAATCTAATCTACACTACTTAATACAATTAGACGATGGACTTGAATGTAGGAGACATATAGATCAAATCAGGGAGATAGGGGAAACCACTCCTAAAGTACATGTTCCTCGTTATCCAGATCCACCAACTACTCCAAAAGTGTATACGCAAATTATGCAACAGGAACCAGTTGTTATTCCAGACAACAATCCTTGTCCTCCGCAGCCTCCTAATTTAGATTCAGAGAGAGAAACTAACCTATATGTAAGTGGTTTTCCAAACCCAGCTCCTTCAGTTAGTGGAGAAAGTGCAAAATCAAGAAGACCGCAAAGGAACTTGAAACAACCCCACTACCTAAAGGATTATGTTTTACCAAATCGGAAAAAATAATGTTTTATGTTGTAATTCATCTTGATTTTTTTTTGTTCCTAATATTTTGTTACTTTGTGTTTGCAGCAGTTTTGTTTTTCTCTAAGGAAGAGAGGTGTTATATTATTATAGATTATCCATAGTAACGTTAGGGGGATGACAAGCAATCTAACACATGTCATGTACTAATATTTCACGTTTTGGGAAATAAAAGTATTTTCATAATTTGGCCTGTTATTATACTACAAACCTTAATTCTACAATATACAGTGGCTACAGTCACAATATTATATTAAGAAGTAATGTATACAATAGGATTAGTTTTTATATCTCGTAAAAAGTAATTTAAACAACATAACCTCTTAAAACTTTTATATTATTATTACCAATAATTTCCGTTTGAAGATATTACTTAGTTTAATACTTATTTTACGTTGGTAACGCTTTTAAAATTTACCTATAATATTGTTAACACAAAAATAAACTAATGGTCGGTATACAGGTGTGCTAAATTGTAAAATGTGGGTTACACCATATTTGCTTATTGAATTACTATACGTTTTTATCAACCGGAATAAAAATTAAAATAATTATATTAGTTGGACAAATTACTTATATAGATCTCACGCGTATTGTATATGGTTATATCTTTTATTTTCAGGTTCATAATTCTATAACTCGCAGTATTCTTTTTTCTTTTCCTTACAGGATGAATAATTCCAGAGGCGCATTGTTAGTAAAACTGGGGATTGAAAAAAAAAATTGAAGAACAACTAAACAAAAGTCAAGAAATAAATCAAAGTTCTTTTCACACTCAAGCTCCAAGAAAATTGCCATCTGAACCTGATGTTTTTAATCAACTTGATGTTGATGAGCCCTATCAGTCATCTGGTAGCGAATATATCGATGGCTAAGAGGACAAATATTGTATGTCCATTTTTGTCTAAAATGAAATATGTCCTGTTCGAAATCAGTCGAGACAAAATCTTTATTGTACCAAAATATTGTATGTCCTCTTGAAATGGTTTAGTAGTTACTGAAGTAACATTAAAGACATGTCCATTCATAACACCATGAACATCCTGCACAAATGTTGTATGTCAAATACAATATTTGTGCAGTTCACAAAATTCAACTGGAACAACTTTTTTTTTGTATGTCCAAAGATACAATGTTTGTTTACATTGTTGGAGGCTCGTTGGCTTAAAGCACGTGTTGCAAGCGTCTGCGCAAAGACATCGCAGGAGTCTGTTGGTGGGGTAAATAACAATATTTGTGAGTGTGCTAGGAATTTGTCGTTTCAGTGTTTGTTGTATTTTCGACTTAAAGTTATCTACACATTTAATTGATAAATTTGTGTAGCGTAAGAAATATAAAAGTAAAATGAACAGCCGAGGAAAGCGAATAGTTCAAATTGCAAAAAATAGTAAGTAGTTGGATCATAAATATTTTAATTTGGCATAATAAAGTAACAAATGAAGAAAAAAACTGTAGCTTGAATGTTTTCAGATTTAAATTTGGACGAGAATCAAGATGACATTCTTCCAGAGACAGTAGCTGGACCTTCCTGTATAAGACGATTATCAGAGTGTACTGTCGATGAGCCATTTGCTGATTCTGGAAGTGACTACCTTCCATCTGATAGTAGTTCAGCTTCGCCAACACATGACTCAGAAAATCATCGCGTACCATCTCCTGTAGTTTATGACATAGAAGGAACAGCACGAAGAGAAAGAAAACGCAGGCTAGTGGCTAAACCGGAATTATGGAAGAAAAATAAAATGAAGTTGTTAAGAGTGGCTGGCAAAGAATATGTAAACAGAAAAGGTGCGATAGTAACAGCTAAATCGCCTGGTATAGTTAATTGCAATAACTGTAGATATAAATGCAGCATTAACATACCTAGAGACAGACAAATAATAATTTGTAAGGAATATTGGGAAATGGCTGATTCAACAAAACAAAAAATTTTTATTTGCTCGCTAGTGGAAGAGAAAAATATTGACAGAGAAAGAAATCGTAATGATAGAAAAAAAACTAGAAAACACAGTCGTTATTATCATTTACTAAGTGCCTCTAATAAACGTGTAAGGGTGTGTCAAAAATATTTTTGTGCTACATTTGCATTCAGTTTTCAAGTAGTTGAAACTGCATTAAAATACCGTGGAGACAGTGGTGTTTATGTCGGCTTTGACCATCGCAAAGAAAGACCAGCTCCGAATGTAACATCTGCTGAGCAAGTTCGTCATATTAAGACGCATATTGACATGTTCCCTAGAATGGCATCCCATTATTGTCGCCGTGATACTAAGAGGCAATATCTAGCAAGTGACTTAAATATCAGTGTGATATATTGTTTATATTGCAGCAATTATTGTCTTCAAAACAATGTACCATCTGTAAAGTACAATGTATTTCGATCAGTGTTTAATAGTTATGATCCACCTTTGTCATTTTATAAACCGAAAAAAGACCAATGCGTAACATGTAACGTTTATACCAGTGCCACAGATAAAACAGAATTGCAAAGTCAGTGGGAGGCACATAAAGCTAAAGAAAAAAGTGGAATGGAAATGAAAGCAGCTGACAAACAGAAAGCAGTTGACAATAAAGGTGAAACATTTCGAGCTATTACATTTGACTTACAGTCAATACTAAATGTGCCTTATGCTGGTGATAGCCAAATATTCTATAGACGCAAACTTTCTGTCTATAATTGCACCATTTTTGATGCTTCCAATGCAGATGGTTATTCTTATCTGTGGGACGAGACACAGGGCAAGAAAGGATCAGTTGAAATTGGAAGTTGTTTGCTAAAATATTTGCAATCTTTACCTAATACTGTTACACATGTATCTTCATTTTCAGACACTTGTGGTGGCCAAAACCGCAATAAATATGTGACTGCTGCGATGCTGTATGCTGTTGCTAACATAGATAATCTTGAAGTAATAGATCTAAAATACTTGGAGCCAGGACATACATACCTAGAAGTGGATTCGATGCATGCTACCATAGAACGTGCTCGAAGAAATAAGAAGGTGTACACTCCCCGTGAATGGGGTGTTTTAATACAAATGGCAAGGCTGAAACCTCGTCCCTACATAGTTACCCATCTCACATACTTAGATTTCTATAATTTTAAGGAGTTGGCGTCTAAAATTATGGTAAATACTACATGTGACACCGACGGAAATCAAGTCAAATGGTTACAAATTAAATGGTTACGCTTTATAAAGACTAATCCGTCAACCATTTTTTTTAAGTACGATGTTAAAAGTAATGACTTTTTAAAACTGAACATACGCGACGTAGGCACTAAACGAACGAGAACACGCAAACAGTATGAAAATGTCTATGATGTATCTCTTGAGCAACAGTACACCAGTTTGTTGCCAATATCCAACGCAAAAAAGCATGACCTTTTGTGCCTATTACGCGAAAAGGTTATTCCAGGCGACTATAAAAACTTTGTGGAGATGTTACCTACAGCCGTGGAGGCGATAGATATTGTCCCAAGTGAATCTGATTACGAAACAGACTGATGTTTAATTGTGTCTGAATTTATCCACAAATTTGTTTAAATAATAAAAATTTAATTTATACTACTAGTACTATTTTTAAACTACTTTTACGATATTTTTATGTCAATGGCATAGTATTGCAGTATGGAAGCAATATATTGTATGTCCATATTGTACTTCACATTTATTGTATGTCCATACAGGGGTTGCTTTTAGCTCACTAAAATACCAAAATGTGATTGATATTTAACATTAATACAAATCAGAATCAAATAATAAATAAAAGAAAGGTAATAGACGAACTTAACTGTAGTTTAAAGAATTTTAAACGATATCTAGTTTGTCATGATTAATGCAAACTTTCATATCGATTTTACTGAAAACATCATTTATGGACATACAACATTTGTCCTCTTATCCATCGATATACCCGATCCAGAAAATACCGATTCATCCGAGAAGTTGTTAGTCAAAAAATGGGAGACAATACGAAAATCGAATTGTAGTGAACTAATGTAGTGAATTTGCCTAAAGAGTTTACTCTATGAACTTTGTTTCTAAGGTTTGATGTATATTATTATTATGTTATTTTGTATGTCAAGTTTCGCTAAATAAAGCCTTATTTTAGAAGGTTTTCTTCATTACAATTTATTTAGCGAAAATTTTAAAAACCATCATAGTCGAATGGATAAATTTCTGAAACCTGAACGGTTTAATGCTGATCCAAATTCAGAAAACGCAGCTAAGGAGTGGATGCATTGGCTAAAGACATTTGAAAATTTTATTGCAACTGTTGAAAATGTTTCGGAAAGAACCAAGCTAGATATTTTAATTAATTATGTGAGTTTTTCTATTCATGATTATATTTCTGAATGTACGAGTTACAACGATGCAATCCAAGTTTTAAATAGTGTTTACATCAAAGAAAAGAATGAAATATTTGCACGATATCAATTATTTACAAGGAAGCAGCAGTCTAATGAATCTATAGATAAGTATATTCAAATTCTTATTCAACTGGCAAAAGAATGCACATTTATTGCCGTTTCTGCAGAAGAAAATAAAAGAGACTATATGAGAGATGCTTTTATTACTGGGTTACATTCGAATAATATCAGGCAGCGCTTACTCGAAAACAATACACTTAAATTTGAAGATGCTGTGAACCAAGCTAGATCTTTGGAGTCTGCCCAAAAGCATTCTGAAGCTTATAATCTTACTAGTATGGTATGCTCTGTTCAAGAGAATGAAGGCAGTAACAACCAAATTGAGGCTGAAAATAATATAGCTGCTATAACTCCTTCCAATAAATGCTTCTTTTGTGGGAATAGAAGACACTCTCGCAGTATCTGTCCAGCTCGTGATATATTCTGCAAAACGTGTGAAAAAAAAGGCCATTTTAGCAAAGTCTGCATGTCCAAGAAACAACACAATAAGTCTCAGTCTGTATCAACATCAGCTTCTCTTATATCTCCCCTTTCCCACGTTTTAGCAGCTGCTCCAAACTGTTTACATAAATCCTTGATTAAAATTAAAATTAATAATAAATTTACCTGTGATGCACTTGTGGATACAGGAAGCTCCGAAACTTTTATCAGTAAAAACTTCACCCAATCTGCAAATATAGAGTTACTACCAAGTGAAGGACAAATTAGTATGGCTTCAACAGCTTTGCTCTCAAAAATTTGTGGACATTGTTTTATTAGTTTGGAATTCTTAGGCCATAAGTATGATCAAATTAAAATATCCGTATTACCAGATCTCTGTGCAGATATAATCATTGGTCTTGATATACTGTCGCAACATTCGAAAATTGAAGTCAATTTTGGTGGTTCCAGATCTCCTCTTATCTTATGTTCATTAGCTCCTGCTAAAGTTTGTTGCCCAACTCTTTTTGCCAATTTATCTTCTAACTGTAGTCCAATAGCTACAAAATCTCGACATCATAATGGTGAGGATAAATTATTCATACAAGAAGAAATTAAAAATCTTATTTCTAAAAAAATAATACAAGAAAGCAACTCACCATGGAGAGCTCAGGTTCTCGTAACTAAAAACGAAAATCATAAGAAGAGGATGGTTATCGATTATTCGCAAACAATTAATAGATTTACATACCTAGATGCTTATCCATTGCCGAATATAGAGGACATAGTTAACGCCGTTTCACAATACAGGATGTTTAGCACTATAGATTTACAGAGTGCTTATCATCAACTACCCCTACTTGAAGAAGAAAGAAAATACACAGCATTCGAAGCTGATGGCAAGCTTTATGAGTTTCTCAGAGTTCCATTTGGTGTAACAAACGGAGTGGCTTGTTTTCAGCGAGTAATTGACGATATCGTAAAAACTGAAGATCTTTCAGGTACTTATGCTTACTTGGATGATATTACTGTATGTGGCAAAGACCAAGCCGAACATGACAAAAATTTACACAAATTTTTAAGTGCTGTGGAAAAATATCAATTAACAATAAACAAAAACAAAAGTAAATTTTCAAAGAAATGCATCACTATACTAGGTTACTTAATTGAAAATGGAAATATCAGGCCAGATCCATCAAGACTAGAATCATTAGTGAAATTACCAGTGCCCACGACAGTCAAGAGTTTGCAAAGAATACTTGGGATGTTTTCTTATTATTCAAAGTGGGTACCACGATTTTCCGAAAAAATATACAGTCTTGTCAATTCTAAATCATTCCCGCTTGAAGAAAATGCAATTAATGACTTTGAAAATATCAAGAAAGATATATCTAATGCGGTTGTTACATCTATTGATCATGATGCTAAATTTGATGAAAAATTAAGGCATAAAAAAACGTGCAAGAAAAATAAAGATAGACAATCAAACACGACATGAGAGGAAAAAGTTTGCAAATTTCAATAAGGAATATATTTCGGCACGAAACAAAATAGTAAAACCCAAAATATTTAATAAGCAATTATTATATACATGTATAAGAAAGTGTACGGAACAAATATTGAGATAAGAAAACGATTGTTTGAACAATTTTGAACTATAGGCACTTTTGAGGGACGATGTTCAATGCTTGGCAGGTGCGTTAAGGAAATACCAAAGAAAAGATATACAAAAAGCCAGGTTTCGAGGAGAAGCAATTCAAGGATATATTGCATAAGTGACATCAAAGTATGCAAGGCTTTGTTTTTAAACACCCTTCAAATTAACGACAATCGAATTCGAGTGGCTTTAAGTCAACTACAAAATAATATTGTACTCGACAACAGGGGACGAAAGGGTGGCGGCCGAAATGACATTGATGACGCAAAATTTCAAGAAATCAAACAACACATCTTTATTTCCCAAGTACGTATCACATTACTGTCGCAATAAGACAGACTCAAAGTTTTTAAATCCAGATCTAAATTTGACTCAAATGTAAGAGTTATATAAAGAAGCCACAGATCAGCCCGTTAGTCTTACAAAATATAAAAAAGTATTCTACTCAAATTTTAATTTAAGATTTAAAAAACCCCATAAAGATACTTTCCGCTTATGCGATATGTACGATGCTACGATTAGTAGTACACAACAGAGTAGAGGGTAGATCTGAAAAAAGACCATAAGAAACATCTTGACATGGCGGAAGAGCTAAGAAAACAAATGAACGATGACCTAAAATCTGCTAAAGATGATGACAGATTGGAGACGTTGACCTACAAAAAACTCTTCCTATACCTAAATTGCCTACTGGAATTGTATATTACAAGAGGCAACTAAATCTGTTCAATCTTGGTAGTACTGGAAGAGGCGTTTGTAATATCTGTCTGGAAAATGAAGCAGGCAGAGGCACACAAGAGGTTGTTTTCTGCTTACGTAAATACATTAACGAAAACGTTTATGCTTCCGTTACAACACTAATTTTATGATCCAATTCCTGTGGAGGTTAGAACAGAAGTATCAAGCTTGTCTTAATGCTTATTCATATATTGCAGAATCATACCTCCCTTGAAAGAATTTCATTGAAGTTTTTGCTTTCTGGGCACTGTTCTTTGCCTAACGACTCACATTTTGCAAACTTCGAATGTTTCTTGAAAACGTAGCAAAGATTGTAAGCAGATAATGATCACATAGCTATTATGAAATCGTGTCGAAGAAAACAGAAGTTCATTGTAAACCGTATCGCATGTTTTGATATGGTTTCAATTGAGATGTTGGAAAAATCGATTACTAATCGCAAAATTAATTTAAATAATAAAGAGAGTATAAGTTGGTTACAAACTCATGAAATAACAATTAACAAAAATGAACCAAACATTCTAAACATGAAAAATCACGTTACAGATCTCTTCTTTTCATGTATAGGTAATATTTTTAAGACTTTAGCTTAATTTATAACCGCCGTAACGTAACTTAAGAACTTAACGTATAGAGTTAAAATATTTAATTTACGTATATCTATTTATAAATGTTCATAACGTAACTTAAAAGCTTAACCTACCGTAGAAAGTTCGAAAACTTTTAACATAACTTAAGACCTTACGATCATGCCAATGAGATAATTCTGAGTTCATCATGTGATAACTATCAATTCTTCTTTTTGTTTTGGACATTTATAAACTATCATTCTCCTTTTCTATGGACATACATTGTCTTCAATATTTTGTGTTCATGTTATTGGGGATAAAATACCTATGAACTGAAACAAGACAAAACTGTTTGCTAGGAAATATTAAATTATCATTATTGCTCAAAAACAATCAACATCTTCGGTAAACTATTCTGTTTTATTATATTTTTATATTGCTGGTCCAGAACAAGACTGGTCTGACTTATAAAAAAGTGATTTTGAGTGCCTCTACTATCTCTGTGCAAGACCGCTTCTTAAGCAACTTAGTGGATTACCCCTAGATAGAGCGCGGCTAAGTAAGCCATCTGGGATTTGTGAAGGAAGGGACCTGCAATAGTGAAACAGCTCAGTTGATTCTTCTTACATATGGGAAACGTTGTGTTTTTATAGTGCAATAGCGGATTATTGTGTGATAAACCAACAGTAA